CACCCTTTCATGCGTGGGTAACTAAGTCCTTGTTTGGATCCCCTTTTTTAGGTATAGATTTTGTAAGAACGATTTTTTTGGAGAATGTGATTAAAAAGTAAGAAATTTTTTTGATTACTTGCAAAATTATTTTATTGAGAGAATATAAGTGTTGAAAAATGAGTTTAAAGAAATTGAATTTTGAAAAAGGCTCAAATGGGGGTTAATTGTCTCAAGTCATCAGCAAGGCTACAATTAATATCAACGGTCCATAGCACCCAAATTTGTTTCAAGGGAAAATTTTATAGCTAAGAGATTAAGTATAATCTAGTTCAAAACTAAAAAACAAGGTTTATTATTTCAAAAATCAGATATTGGTTAAATTTTATATATAAAATAATTAATTAAAAATATATATATTATTTATTGAATATTATTAAGATCACAATATTATATAAATTATGGTCACAAGTATGTATTAGTTACAATTATAGACGTCATAGTTACAACTTATTTCTCGATCACAAATTTAACAAAGTTATAGGTCATATATTATTCTCTGGTCACAAATCACAAAATTCAGAGGTTGCCACTTATTTCACTGTCACAAAATATCAAATTAATTGTCACACATTATTTCTAGGTCAAAATTAAATTTCTAATCACAACTTCACAAATTTTTAAGTCACACATTATTTATTGGTCACAATTTATGTATTTCATTAGTAACACATTAATCAATTCATTAATTACAATCAATCAAACAATTTATGACCACAACACCATTTGTAACCACCACCTCACCATTGCCTCCGGTAGCACTGCCGTGAACACCACCATCGTAGGAACAAAGTGTACATACATACATGAATCTAGGAAAAATAATTCCAAGGTAACTGTTTGTCTTGATTGTGAATTATTTGACATACCAAATGAATGATGATAATAACCATTTCATATAATCGATCTAAATTTATAAAAAATTAAAGCTTATAATTTATTGTTGTTGTCGTTTTAGATAAAAAAAAGGAAAAAGAAAAATTACTTGTTAACCTTGAACAAGTCCACTTTGTGCCAAGAAAGAATATCTACATATTGTGTATGGAACGGTATACGGTCTTATGTTAAAGTTCTCGTACCAAACAAATCAACTAAAGTTTGATTAAACTCCCCACATTCGACCATAATACTTTTCAAATTCATTTATTGTTAAAACAATCATTTATAGACATCAGTTCATGTTTATTTTCTCAAACTTTTTGAACTAATAATTTACTTTGGACCATCATGTACTATCTAGAACACATACCAAATATACTCTGGTTCCCTTCAAGGTTAGAGAAGAAATAAATTTAGAATAATTACTGTCAATGCAACGTTATTTGGAACCCAACAAGTCAATATTTCTATCCTTTCTTCTTCTTCTTCTTCTTCTTCTTTTTTATTAATTCTTGGTGCAAGGTATCTTCCATGTAACTTCAAGTCATGGATCATGTTTCATTTCCACAAAAGACAGTGTAAAGTGTATATAGAGAACTTGAATTTTCGTTTTCAAAAGTCTTCGTGTTCCAGCTTTCAATCTTGTTTCAAGGTATCTTACATGTAACTTCAAGTAATCGATCATATTTCAATTCCACAAAAGTTGATGTATCTAGAGAATTTAAATTTTCTTTTTCAAGTCTATAGGTTTTACTATTTTTTGTATCCTAACGTTAAAGGACGACTTATAAATAATCCAAATTTATCGGGTCATTGTTACTGCACTGCTTTGGATTCAAGAGTAGTGAAAATTTCCAGAGCAACTTCGACTTTTATTTTCAACGCTTTGATGCATCCATTAAAGAAAATTATATCCAATAATAAAACCTTGCAATGAGTCATCTCAAGGATTATTTTAAATCATTCAATTGACTAAAGGGTATAGAAAATAATAAATGTTGCAACTTACGACTACATCATCATTCATACCATATTAATAAATTATTCATAATATTGTTACAATTCGGAATCCCTAACTGATTTGTGCCTACTTCAGATTAATGCATCAATGGCTGAGGTTTAGATTCAGAATTCTTTATGATTAACAAGAGGAGATGTTTTAGCCTTGAATGTTTGTGTTGAGGAAATAAATTCAAACTTCAGACTTCATCAAACACAGTTTCTACACGAACAATGAATTTGAAGCTTTCCATACTAATTCTGTTCATTTAACTGGCCAGCAGCTGTCAAAACCAATATAATAATATAGAGATTAGAGCCTTTTAAACTCCGAATATTTGTAAGCATATCGCAAAATAAAGTTTTCAAAACCCAACATTAATTGCTAAAATTCTGGATTTGGATCTTCAAATGTATCTCCATTTCCAATGAAATGTTGTGAATAATAGATTTAGTTCTTGGTTTTTTAGATCACATTGTGGAAGTACTTGGTGTTTCAATTCTCCACTTGAATCCATTTTATTCCCGCTTTCTGTCGTAGGAATATCTCTTAGCAAGCTAGTAAAGAGTTGTATTCTGCATAAGATTTGTGAAGCTATATTATCGTTGTTTCTGATTGCAAATGGTAAAAAGTTAGCTCCTTTTCTATTCGAGTTCAATCTTGGTGAAGATTTACCAAACACTTGTTTATCCTACCACTTAAGGCCAATTTTTTAGTCTAGATAATTTACACTTGAAAACCAAGAGCCTTGTCTTAGCTATTGATTGTTTCTAGTTCCTTACAAAGAAGTCCTCAAATTGGTCACCTCAAATCCACATGTTTTGAAAAATCACCTGGATTTGGCAGTTTGATACTGAATTCTTCTTGGCTGATAAAAGAGCACATTAAAATCACCCCTGAAGAAAACCAAGGTGAATCATATTGCTTGGAAGCACTATTAGACTATCCCAAAGTTTCACCCTTTCATGCGCGGTTGATATTGCATCTACCACAGAAGATTGGAAAGAGTCAGGCTAGTAGAGTTTGTACCTCAAGGTAACTAAATCCTTGTTTGAAACCCATTTTTAAGTATAGATTTTGTAAGACTGATTTTTTTGTAGAATGTGTGATTAAAAAGTAAGAAAATTTTTTTGATTACTCATAAAATTATTTTATTGAGAGAATGTGAGTGTTGAAAAATGAGTTCAAAGAAATTGAATTTTGAAAAATAGGCTCAAACTGGGATTAATTTTCTCAGGTCATCAGCAATGTTACAATTAATATCGAGGGTTCATAGCACCCAAATTTGTTTCAAATACATTACAAAGAGCATGTTCAAAACCAAGAAATTGCTTCAAATTCTTTGTTGAACATTTAATTCTTTGACAAATAAATAATCTTAGTAATGACCCAATAATAAATAGGAGATTAACAACTGTGTTAAAGAACAAAAAGTATTAATAACTAGTCATATATAAACTAGTCATTGCCTTATCCTATGTGGAACAAGTTAAATTGCTTTTCCGCCAACATGCAAACCACTATACTTTGAACTTAAATTTCCTGTTTACCCAGGAATCATTTTAATAGGTAAATATATGATTTCATTCCTAAACAAAGTACCAAGCCCCGCACAAAGTAGTGCTAAAACAGCACTATTTTCCAAAACAAAGAACCAAGTCCTATGTTGATGGTAAAAATCGGATCAAATGATTTTATTATAATGAAGCGATTACAATCGAAGATCAAATATAAATACAATCAACAAATCCTCTCACTTAAGTATGAGTTCCACCATACTAATCTAGATGCTTCAACTAAAACAAGAGAAAAAACTATTTGAGATGAATATACTTGAATTCCTCCCTTTAAACGAGAAGGGAGTATTTATAGATTTCCCTCCAAGTGTTGGAATAGTTTGGTCGTTTTTAGAAAATAACAGGTGGCGGCCCCTTACTGGTTATCTTGTAATTGATTCAGTTAAGAATCATGCTCTACTCATCATGCTCACTTGCTTCTAATTGACAGCCTATAGCCCACCTAAATATTAGTAATGGTTCACGACCTTTATGCGAGCCTTTTTCTTATTTGTTCCTTCACATCGTTTTATGCTTCATCGACAATCCACTTATGCTAGCAAATTCGCACTTAGGAGGTTAACATACTAACTAAATTAATTATGCATCGAAAACCTTACAATAATTCAAATTACACGTCCACTACCATAAAAAAAATTGCAAAAACAACAACAAAACAAAACAAAAAACAAAAACAAAAACTTTGGATAATTTTCCAATGTTACAAATTGTGTCAAGCTACAGTATGATCCCCAAAGAAGTGTTAGATCTAGACTAGATTTAACTTGCATATTCAAATCTATACGAAAGAACACTATAAAACTTCACAGATCCAACACCAAATCTTCAAAATCGTTCAGAGCCCTGAGAATTGCATGAGATCCTTTGCAATACCCTAAGCCGACAGTTCGTCTTACCAAAATGTTTTACGTAAAGTTCCCATAATATAAAGCTCTCATGTGACGTAAAGAGTAAAATACACAACAATTCTACATATCATTATGCACGTAAAGTAGTAATCAGCACCAAAATGGACACAATCTTAGGGCTCAGATTTTGAAGCCGTGTCCCACACAGTCAAGCCTAGTGTCGGACCTAGATTTTTAGCACATAGAGTTCTGAAACTTACAAGTGTAGAGAAGCAAGGTTTCCTCTCAAACACTAGGGGCGATAGATTGGCCTTAAAATCATTGACCATGCTTCTAATCTAATTATCTAGATTGCTTCAAATACAATGAAGTTGCTACCAGGTGGCAATCCAAGTAAAACGTGTCTTAAAGTAGAACTTTTAAACGGGTCTGGGTTTGAACTGATCTAGTGAGGGTTGGACCACTTGGTTTGTCTCCAATTTAGGCCTAAACTTGGAGATCAATCATGGATCATCGCTGCCCCAAGACTTGTTTGGCATCAAAACTCAACAATAAGTGAATAATATTCTATTGTATTCATCAACAAATTATAACAACATAATGACACTTTTAATCTTCACAATATGCATAATAATGTCTAATAATATGCCACTAGGTTTTCATGATAACACAAATGTTACTGAATGACTGGAAATTCACAACAATTGTATGGCCAAACAAAAAAAGGGGGAAAAAAGGATGTTTATAAACAATGACTTCCAAAAAGTGGAGATGTTAGGTCTTATGCTTGGTGGTTCTCTTTTTCGTCTCCTAACTCTTCCACTTCCACGGTCACATGAGACTCTGCATTGCCTTCACCAGTTTCCAAAAAATATATATTAGGCAATACTAACACTCTCTTCATGTATTTTTTGGTTATTTATAATGAGTTGCAAAAGAACTTGTTTATTAATTTTTACTAGGTGAAATTTAAATTCAATAGAAGCCCTAATAAAACTGATGTCATAGTAATGGGAACATAAATAATAATAATAAATCTGAGGCTAAATTTTAATGAAACTAGAGAATAAAGGTATATTCATACCTGCTGTAGCACTTGCACGAAGTTCTTGTACATCCAAATGCACCTCACCACTTGAAGCAGTAATAATATTCTCACCTCTAGAAGTTGGGGCCAAAATACCATGGTTAGTATGTTTAAGTAAAGTACGCCATTCGTCAATATACATTGATTGATCGGGTGATAGATTAGGAATTTCATGCTTTTGAAGAGCTTTCAGAATGCCTTGAGTTTCTCCCAAAGGTTGAGTTGCTTCCTGTATACCTTTCTCCCATTTTTCTATGGCGCAATTGTTACATTTCTTGAGTATAACATGAGGTAAATTGGTCAGGCTTGAAGCAATTATATCTGCAACGATAACTGACAATCTCTCAAACACTTGAGTATCTGATGCTGAATGATAGCTTTCGTCATAGACCAACAACAAACTGTTGCTTATTTTGTACATTGAATTAGCAATTATGACATTTTCATGTAAGTTAATGGGACTCTCCATCGCATTTCCATTCATTTTACTTGTGAAGTCCTTCAAGATTGCTTCACTTTTATTTGCTAGATTCTGAAGAGTTTCTTTGGAGGATTTTGATACCCTGGAAATTTTTTGGAGGTCTGTGTCTAACCACTTGTGCCTCAATTCAACTACAACCCACACAAAACTTGCAGCACTCGTGCTGCTCAACAATTTCTTATGAACATCCATACTTTTCTCTACAAGGCACACATACTTAAAACCTTCAATGACACTTCTTAAAAATTGATTCCTTTTCTCATTTTGAACATTGGGAAGAGAAATCATGATACTTGTTAGTGTTGCCACGGATAGACTCCAACAATTAAGAGGTTCTATGAGAATTATCGGAGAGACAAGATCACTTTCAAATTCTAATACACCCTCAAATCTGGTGGAATTTTTCATAAGCTCCATTAGATATCTAGGCTGATGCTTCGCACCGAAAATTATGGATGAATTAATAGAAGTGTTAATGAACATCAGGTATCCATCTTGTATTGCCTCACTTTCTAGATGTAAAACAAAATTTTTAAGATCTTGCTCATAGCCAAGCATGTATTTTGATTCACTGGGATTGAATGAGGCCTCCGATTCTCTTAAGGAAAATTTCTTCAACATTACCAAGCACCTAATGATTCTTATCCTCAAGATACAAAAAAAGAGTACGATGATCAATGGGATTATAAATATTATGGGACCGTATTTTGAACACACCATTAAGCAGAGATATCCAAAAATTGAGATTGGCACAAGCAATTTATTCACAATCACAATCACTATTTGACTTCCTATACAAATGTTGAGAAGTAGATTTCTGATGTGATAAATAATTTTTCTAAGCTTCTGGCCTCGAACTTGTAATAATGAAAGTCCCTTTTTCCACTCTACCAATCTTTTGATCCTGTAATTCTTCATTTCTAAGGAAATGCTAGAGATGGTACATTTTCTAATATTCCGTACAGTGTGAATTAAAGCTACTAAAAATCTTCCCAAGGACATGACAACACAAAGAGCCATGCCTACATGTTGAGTCCAATAAATAAGATAGACTGACCATTTATAATCGGAAGCAAATTCTGGCTTATTGTTTGTTGACAATACTGATCCATCAGAAATATAATTAATGACGCAGATCATGAATAAAACACCGCTGGCCTCAGATCGTGCCATGACAAACTAAGGGTTACCTGTTTCTGCCATGACCCAGTACTTCTTCACGCGCAACTTTAACTTGTCGAAGTCCACTATTTTGTTTCCTTGTAGTTCCTCCGACGAAATTCTTCTGTGCAATCCGTTATACTTTAGTTCCAAATACCTTTTACTTGTAGACACTGTTAAAGTAGAAGAACTCAATATAATGAACGTATAAACATTCATAAAGACAACCAACACTTGGAAATCATCTTTAATCACGCCTGTGAATACTTGGATGATAACATTTACTGTAAGTGTCACTATAAGGATACCCAATGCAGCCAAGTTCACTAATATACCTCTATCACTCATGGATCCCAGAGAAGGCATGAAATGAGTGGTTGAAGCACACAAGAAAGCAGTGCTAATACTTTTAGCCGCTTGATCAAACATACCTGGCATCGGTGTAGTTAGGTCCATTGACAACTTCACTGCGATGGCTAACACAGTCAAGGAAGCAGCATTGAGAGCAGAATATCTGCAAGGGAACCATAATTTTCTATGGCGGATAGAGTGCACTGTATCAGCCGTAAGTGCTACAGTCCATATTAGAGATGCTACAGCAGCGTATAAGCCTATCCATGGCATTGGGGCTTTAGAGTCAATCATTTTGTTCAATTATTCTGCTCTCTTCCGATGAATGTACAGTTTTGAATTTAAGATATTGGGAATGCTGAGAGTAGTGGAAATTTCTTTGTAATTTCAGTAGTACAACTTCAGCTTGTATTTCAACGCATTGATGCATCCATTAAGGAAAAATATATCCAATAATAAAACCCCACAAGTCATCTCAAAGATTATTTTGAATCATTCAGTTGACTAAAGGGTCATCCAGCATATAATATATGTTGCAACGACATCATCATTATTATCATATTAATAAATAATTCTGAAAATTGCTTTAAAATAAATAAATAAAATTGGACGGAAGGCAATGCTGATGAAATTAAAACTCAAGAAAATTACACCCAGAAAAATCTCTTCACGGAAAAAAAAAATAATTAAGTTATTGATTTCAATTATATCATATAATTTGATCTTATTTGAATGTAAATCAACGAAAGTATTTGTATTCCAATTTCCTAATAGTTGAAGAATGAAATTCATGTTAAACGAATGTTGGATTATCAAATTAGAATTTCTAGTAGTTAAAGGATGAAACTGGTAATAAATGATAGTTCCATAATGAAATTTGAATTTCCTAATATTTGAAGGATGAAATTGATTTAAAATTATAGTTATATGATCAAATTCAAATACCCAAATAGTTAAATGATGAAAATGAAGTAAAATGATAGTTGGATGACCAGATTTGTATTTCCTAATATTTGAAATTGATGTTAAAGCTTAGCTGGATGACCAAATTTCTATATCAGAATAGTTGAAGGATGAAATTTATATATAAGTGTATTCGAATGACCAAATGTGAATTTTCCAAAAATTGAAGAAAGAATGTCTTTCGCACACCAAAGGACTCTCCAAATACTGCAGTACAAACTCACGAAGAGATTTACAATTTCACACTCACACAACAAACGAATTACAGAGAGTTCATCCAGAAGATGAAGAGAACAAGAGAGAGAGAGATGCAACTGGGGTTAAAACAACCATATGAACCCTAAAGTCACACATCCTTCAATTTATAAGAGAGAGATGCATGATCTTAATCCAACGGCGTTCCATTAACCAGGTGTCAGAAATCAAAGCAAAGATGGCCTTTGATAAATAAAGGCGTATTTTACTTAAAATAAATAAATAAATAAATAATACTTTTAACAATTTTGGAGCTTTCCAAATGTTGGGTCAATAGTCGGGCCAAATCATAATTTGGACCGGTATCTCAATGGCTCAAAACCTTGGGCTTTTAAAGTTTTAGCAAACCAACTCTACATTGGAATATCTTATGGGAACAATACACTATCCAGGTGTATACTATGCAGCATTTCAAAAATAAGAAACAAGTCAATGAATTTCATAAATTAGGTTATATATAATATATAATATGTATTTAATAAATAGTATATATTATGTATGGAACACATATAAATAAGGTAACTTCCACACGGTTCCAACAATCTCGCAATCAGTTACTAGTTACTGTGTCAAACCAAAACCTCCACAAAATTGGAAAGTCATGGTTCCTACAATCTCGCAATCGTCATTTCTAGGTGGAAAGTCATGAATATTGAAACGGAACAATACTTTCCTCTAGCCGACGACAGATTTATTTTTTCGAGAAAATTGTAAATCAAGGTGGTCACAATTATGAGGATTCAAGGATATTCATTCTTCCATCATTCCGATCAACGAAGGTGTTCTATTGGCTGTCTAAAATCAAATCAGTATGTGATTAATCGTGTCCTATAATCTGCATTATGTCGGCTGTATACAAAAAATTGCATTGGAGATGACGAATATTGTTGTTCATAGTGTCGTATGTCTATTAAAATTGCATCGCAGACAGCGATTATTTGCATTATTTGTTCGTATTTATTAGATTTTGGTCACAATTATGTATTATATATCTATAAATCATGAAATTCTCCATACGAAATGTGAGTTTGTGACCAGAATATTTTTTTGTGACGTTAATTCATGTCTATAGCACAAAATATGTGTGGATATGTGAACCAAATTTCTGCTCGTGACATTAAATTTATGGTAATTACGCTCACCAAGACATGAAATGCACACCAGAAAGCATCTGTGATTGAAATTTATCTTTATGACCATGTTTGTGTACTCATTCTGATGTACTAATAATATTATATGCGGAGCGTGACTTGCAGACAATGGTGGCAATAAGTTCTGGTTCTATGACCAGTGACCTAAGCACGCATGTGTGGCTTGTAACCTGATCATGCAACTGTGACTTGTGATTGGTGCACTGATCAAGCAATTGTGACCTATGCACATAATTCTGTGTCCCATGACCTGTGACCTGAGCACACACGTGATTTGTGACTTGTGCACACAAGTTTGTGATCCTTGACCTGTGACTTGAGCAAGCAAATGCAATTTGTAACCTTTGACCTGTGACATGTGCAAACAAGTTTGTGACCTAACCGTACAAATGTGACGTGTTCTGTGCAAATAGTTCTATAACCTGTGACCAATTCGCACAATTTTGTGATCTATGACCTGAGCACACAAATGTCAAATGTGTATGTTCTGTGCCAGCAATTTTGTAACTTGTGACCAATTCACATAATTCCATGATATGTACCTTGAGCACGCAAGTGTGACCAGAGCATACAAATCAGTAACGTGTGACTTGTGCATACAAATTAGTGACCTGTGACCCGGATAAATAAATTTGTGACCTGTGCAAACAAATCTGTGACCTGGGCAAATGACTCTGTGACCTGTGATTAACAAATGAATTATGACATCTATATGATAATAAGAAAATTGTGCCCTGGTAGAGGGTAAGTCGTATTGAACATTGAAATAGCAGTACATTCACGAAAATATTAAAGAATCGGAAGACACATGAGCAACCACATTTTCAATATATTCCATTAATGTAAAACAATTCAAAATTTTCGTGTATCCGGATTCCAAGAATTTACTACGGGATCCCACTATCCTCATCACTCCATTTACTAACTTTTTCAATTAGTCAAAAGACAAAACCAAAATATGTGATTTTGAAAGAATGATTTTTTTATTTTTATTTTTTTGGAGAATGTGTGATTAAAAAGTAAGAAATTTTTTTATTGCTTGCAAAATTATTTTATTAAGAGAATGTGAGTGTTGAAAAATGAGTTTAAAGAAAGTGAATTTTGAAAAATGAAGCTCAAACTGGGGTTAATTGTTTCGGGTCATCAACAATGTTACAATTAATATCAAGGTCCATAGCACCCAAATTTGTTTCAAATACATTACAAAGAGCATGCTCAAAATCAAGAAATTGCTTCAAATTATTTGTTGATCATTTAATTGTTTGACAAATAATTTATTTAGTAATTAAACAATAATAAATAGGAGATTAACAACTGTGTAAAAGAACAAAAAGTATTAATGACTAGTTATATATAAACTAGTCATTGCCTTATCCTATGGGGAACAAGTTATATTGTTTTTCTGTCAACATGCAAATCATTATACTTTGAACTTAAATTTCCTATTTACCCGGGCATCATTTTAACGAGTAAATATATGATTTCATTCCAAAACAAAGAACCAAGCCCTGCACAAAATAATGCTAAAATGGCACTATTTTCCGAAACAAAGAACCAAGTCCTATGTTGATGGTAAAAATCGGATCAAACGATTTTATTATAATGAAACAATTACAATCAAAGATCAAGCATAAATACAATCAATAAATCCTCTCACCTAACTATGAGTTCCATCACACTAATCTAGATGCTTCAGCTAAAACAAGAGCAGAAAAAGCTATTTGAGATGCATAGAAAACCTTAAAATAATTCAAATTACACATCAACTACCATAAAAAAAAAAACAAAAACAAAAACCTTGGATAATTTTCCAATGTTACAAATTGTGTCAAGCTAGAGTATGTTCCCCAAAGAAGTGTTAGATCTAGACTAGATTTAACGTCCATAGTCAAATCCAGACGAAAGAGCACTAAAAACTTCACAGGTCCAACACCAAATCTTCAAAATTGTTCAAAGTGCTCGAGATCCTTTTCAATACCCTAAACCGATTGTTCATCTTCCCAACGTGTTTTATCTGAAGTTCTCACACACTAATATAAAGCTCTCATGTGAAGCAAGGCCAAACCCAAAATGAAAGTCTAGTGGGGGTGAAACAAAAAAACCTTAGGGCCGTAACCCAAAAACTTTGAGAAAAATTGAAATTTTGAAAATTGAGTGGGGCGGCCAACCCCGCTCGGCCTAATGTCGGTCCGCCCCTAATGTGAAGTAAAGAGTAAAATACACAACAATTCTACATATCATTATGCACGTAAAGTAGTAATCAGCACCAAGATTAACACAATTTTAGGGCTCAAATTTTGGAACCATGTCTCACAAAGTCAAGCCTAATGCCAAACCCAGATTTTTAGCACATAAAGTTTTGAAACTTACTAAAGCAAAGAAGCACGGTTTCCTCTCAAACACTAGGGCAATATATTGGCCTTAAAATCATTGACCATGCTTCTAATATAATTATCTAGATTGCTCCAAATACACTGAAGTTGCTACTGGGTGGCAATCCAAGTAAAACGTCTCTTAAATAGGGTTGGCAACGGTTCGGTTATGGGTTAGTTGGCCAAAACCATAATCGCACCACCAATTTTTTGACCATACCATAACCGTACAATAACCACGTAAATCGGTTTGATTCATATCTTGGTTCGGTTCGGTTATTAACCATGAAAATAAATTATTTTTTATAGGTTCATCCGTCAAATTGATATAAAATAATTTATAAAAAAAGTCAATGAAAACAAAAACACAATATTCCAAATGAAAATGCAAATATTATCCCAATTTTCAATTGCAAAATACAAATTTAACAAACAATATTATAAATATAATATTACTAAACTTTTCCTTCATTCTTAATTGTTGTGCATTGAAGTTACTTGATTTATTCTTCCCCACAAGTCTTACTAGCATAGATCAGACTCAAAGTTGATT